GGGGGGGTTGCTGGTCCGAAAGGTGCGTGCCGTTGCGAGTGCGTGCTGCGGGACATGAATGTTCGTCGGTTTTCGGTTTCGGTTTTGGTTTCATTTTCAGTTGCGTTTTGTTTTGGTTTTGCCTTGTTCGAAAATATCGCCACAGAAAATGGTATTCCAGTCAGGAGCAGACTTTTATGAATGAAAAGTAAAGGAGAGGGGTAACGAGTGGGCTGAGTGGGTGGAGGAGGCACGCTTCTAAGCTTCAAGTGTCTGACGCACGTCTGGCGCTCTCTTTGGCACCGCCTCTCTTTCGCATATCACGTGCACGTACATATTGCCATGTGCAATACATCAAAATCGAAAGAACCGCAACAATGAAGAAGAGAGAGAGTCAGGCAAAGAGCGCAGCTTAAGTGCGGTCGTGGGAGCGGGAGAGAGCAAAGTTTTAGCCAGCCATCACGTTTACTCGGACACACGAGGCGTCCATTCCAAACAGCTCTGAAGGAACGTGATGGTCACTAAACAAAAACATAAAGAACCAATGCAAAAACAAATTCAACGAGGGAAACATCTTGAAGGCGCCTGGAAAATGATCGATAAACAAGCGATCCAGCGATAAGATACGTAAAACCAGAAAGGATCCTGCCAAGAGAGCCAAGAGAGAGGAAGCAATAAACTAACTGCGATCAAAAACTGTCACAATCTCTCTTTTCCTCCAACTCCTCCGCCATTTCTCTGCGGAGGCGAGGCGCAGCCTCCATAAAACTGACGCGAGGTAATAAAATAGCAGAACACAATGATTCCACTGTAAAACCCTTACCATTCGCTCTTTTCTTCTCTACGAAGTACAAGTAGTCGATTGATGGATACCCATTGATTTTATAATGGGGAGAAATTACTGTGTAGAATAGTTCAATGAAGAAAATTGACTTAACAGGATCAGCTCTTGATACTCTCCATAAATGTGTATGTATATTTGTTAGGGTTTGTATATCTTCCGTTTGCTTAAAGAACATGCACTTACACAGCAAAACAATACACCCCACTTTGTTCTAAAAGGTACCCAAAAGGTAGCACAAGAAATGCATTCACATAACTGTTTATCAGCTTGTCAGATCTCTCACTCTCTTTCTGCTTGTGTTTTTATGGCCGCTGGCTAACTGTTTTTGATTGTGTTACACCACACAACAAACACACAAAGACAAAACGAACCACAAGCCAGAGCAAGAGCCTGAAACAGTTCATAATTCAAAAACCACAAAGAGAGGGCCAACAATTAAGCAATAAAATACAAGCAAGAGAAGAGGAGTGACAAAGGCAGAGAGCCAGAATGAGAATCAGAAGAAGAAAAAAGTCGATGTGAAATGAAATCGGAGAAGTGCAGTTCGGGAGCGTGATCCTTATCGTAATTGTGCGTGCTTCTGATGAAGTATACTCTTCTCTCCCCCTTCACTCCTCTTACCACTTTCCAGAAGGGTAATAACTTTTTCCTAACAAAATGATGAACTGCTTTGAGACTAACTTTCCTTCTTACAGTCTTTTAGTTGGAAAATAGACTGGAAAGTGACATTCTGACGTTGCTGTAATTTATTTGGCTTAACTTTTCTAAATATTTCCATTGATTGATCCATTCGAAAGCTATCGTTGGCATTGGCAGTGCCACAAACACACTTTTAGAAGCAATAAATTATCATCAAAAGTAGTGGAAAAAGTTGAAAAATCATACAAATCGCTTCGAGTACCGAGGCGTCAGATACCCATGGCGAACCTTCTCTTCGATACATTTCCATGCGCTACAAAGATCTTCTTTAAATGATAGTACTCTTTCTCCTTAAGGGTATCACGACCATTCTTCGCCTCTCTCTTTGCTAGCTTGCTTTTTCCTTTGCTGTTGTTCGCTCACTTTTCTGGTATTTAGCGAAATAATTCGCATGCCAGACTGTACGCAACGCAGACCCCGTCGACCGAAGATCGCATTTACTCGTAACTCAGCGGCAAACACGAAAGTGTTCAGTTGTGATCGGAATTATTAATTAATATTCTTGCACCTTCCGAAACTGTGTCGGGAATCAGGCCATAAACTAGTGCACAATCGATGGGATGGGAGTACGATGAGCGATGGATGAGTAGGGGACCGACCGCGACCGCGAACGAGGACAGTCCCCAGGTCCATGTTAACGTCCATGTCCAATATGGCAGGCAGGTCCGCAGTCATGACCGTGACACAGGAGAAAAAAGCAAGAGATGATGGAAGCGGGGAACGGGAGGAGTAGGTGAAGTGGGTATAGGAAGAAGGAGTAGCACAAGCAGCAAAAAACAAAAGATAAACAAACAGAAATGAGATCGACCACAAGAGCTTCTGTAAAAAAGAGCGTCGCCCTAACTGTTAAAAACAACAAGTCAAGGGCTTCCCATATGCGCCCGCATCTCTTTAAAAAGTCTTGCTCTGAATCAATATGCACGAATTTAAGGTGAGCTCCCCGTCCCGTTTTAAGAAGGCGCTCTCCCAAAATCCGCAGATTTCGTTTTAGCTCTGTTTAGTCATAGACATTCTAAGAGAGAGAGAGAGGCGGACACAACAAGCATCACCTAATGCATAATGTGACAAAAGTGTTGGTGCGCTCCCGAAACGCACCGCTACAAAGAGAGTAGCATCAGTTAGCATCGCAGCTAAAAGTGGAGAGAGCGAAAATGTAAGCAGAATGGCGGAAGAAGTGACGCTGAAATGAACTAATTTTCATAAAAAATAACAAAACAATGTGGAAAGTGCTTGAAAGTATTCCAAATCATTAATACAGTGTTAGAGATGTTACAAAGTAATGTAAGTACATGAAATTAAATGAAAACATCACATAAATTGAGCAATTGCGCATTTGCAAATATTAGCGAAGTGTTTTTGTCCGTGCCGCCACGAAACACTTAACAGCTTAAAGAGCGGCACTGTTAAGTTGAAGAGATGGCTCAATATGCGCTTAATGCAGGCTTTAATATAGTTTTAGTGATAGTAGTGCAGTCAAAATCAATAAAAGTTTCACTGAAATTAATAATTACAATGTTTTTTCCCCCGCAGCCACACATCCCCTAACAGATGGAAGAGCGGCACTGTTGATATGAAGAGATGGTACAATGCTAGTGGGCGCTTAAGAGAAAAAGTGAGTAATAAGTATTTCTAATTGCATACCTTCTGCTTGCATGTAAAGAGCGCGGGAGTTTGCACTTAAGAGAACGTTCATTGGAGCTCAATAAGAATATTTGAAGCTGGGCATTGTGTTATTGCAATGGGAATATGCATTTAAAAGTGTGTGGGTTGACTCAGACATACCCCCTGACATACCCCCTGACATACCCACCCATTCCTAATTATAGCTTTATTCAATCGGCTGCCTAATATACCCCGTCCCATACCCATAACTCTGTCTCTTGAAGAGAGGGCTCCCTTTTGCTGTCGCGCTGCTCGCGAGCTGGAAGCGTGTTCCAGGAGCCAAAGTGCATTCCACGCATGGCTTGAGGTTGGTTAAAGTTGTTGCTGCTGTCCAAAGGGATGTGGGGCATGCGGCATGTGGCAGGAGGCACAAGAAACATGAGGAATGTGCTCCAGGTTATAAGCTTTTTTCTTTTGTTTTGTTTTACTTTTAGTTTCTGTTTCTGTTCCCGGTTGTTTCTCGCGTTTCTCTGTTTTTGTCAGTTTGTCATTTGCGTTGTTCAATTAATTGCAGAAATCAATTTAAGCAATGCCACTCTGTACCTCATTGCGGCATTGTTGCTTTTGTTGCATGCTGCTCCTGTTTCAGTTGCTCAGTTGTTCTGCCAGTTGATCGATTCATTGGAAACGGAGATTCGGGAAGGAATTGGGACTCGAGGATGGCCCTTCAATCGACTGATCGACTGACTGCTGGGTTACGGCTAATTGCTACAAGATCTCTCTCGTACTCTCGGACTCTGAGAACTAGAAAACTTGTCTATGGATTCTTATTCCCCCTCTACCCACCTTCCATCCTCTGATACTCGCTTGATCTTCCGGCAAGCCCGGGATCTTCTCTCAGGTCTGCAGCGATGGCAAAAAGAGTGTGACAACGCGCGACAGCCTCGAGATAAATCCAATTAGTCTGATATTTGTACTTTTTATGTGAGAATTCCCATTAAAAATGTAAAATGTCATAACAAAACGAGAACAAGACAACAAGTCAACAAACGGCAGACAGCTCACATCAAGTGCCGGCCCCAAAGACTGAACCCAACAGTAAGGCGACTCGGCCTGTGCCCTAGTAAAAGCTCTAAAAACAGGTGAAGCATAGACAGAATCGAGTGGTGGTTCGATAAATTCTAATATATTGGTTCTATTTATGATTACATTTCGAAAGAATTGACTGAAAATTGGGAATAAACCAGGAAAAATCATTTTAACCTGATTCTTAGACAGAATTACGGCCATAGAAGGTTTGGGTTGGAAGAAATACAAAAATAAAAAATAAATTGAATAAAATATCATCATAAAAACACTCTACCCAGCTTGGAAATTACCAAAAACTTCTTTAATTTTAGGATAAATATTTGACTTTCGAATGTATTGGGATTTAACATCTAGAAAAAGTCTCCCCAACGATTTGCTTTGCTCTTGGGACAAATCCAGTGCACAAGCGCATATACCCAAGAAACATTTAGATACTCTTTCGGTTGACAACGGTTTCTTCCTTCTTTCTAAGCTTCTGCCAGATACCAAAGTATCTCATAGATGCGATTCGAGCGCCTTTGACGTCTGTCGGCGACCGCTCAGCGACAGCGACAGAGGCGGAGACAGCGACAGAAACGACAACGACTGCTCTGGCATTCAATAATTTTATGCTAACAAATGCGATGCGCAGAGTGGCCGCCGCCGTCAAGTGGCGCTGAAGAGTAACGGGGTGGGGTGGTGCTGCAACAGGGGCAGAGGCAGAGGCAGAATCATTTACGGTAACATTAACACTTACCGCGCATTCACCGAGGACTGGGCCGCACCGATCTCCTCCATGGACTTTCTGCGAAACATACAGGAATCGAGAGAAAAAGAAAAGAAAAATAAGATGAGAAAAAAAATGAATCACATTTAAGCTTGCGGCTGTTGAATTCGATTAGCGTGAAGCTGTTACGGCGGAAAAAGCTGGCATTTTCCAAATAAATTAAATTAGCCGATAAATGTCTCGGCTATGGACTCACCTGTCGCCCCAGCATAAGGCATCCTCCCGGTATCTGCAATGGAAATTAAAGAATGGGAATGGCATTAATACATGTGGAATCTTTCAGTTAGATCTCGCTCTCTCTCTGTCTTTCTCGCTTGGAAATCAGTCGAAGATCTCCCTCTGTGGAAAGTATTTGTATATCCTTTACCCCACTCTCACAATCTTTCTCTCTTCACTGTACAAGGTCAACAGGAAGTCATCGAATCATTGAATCGTCGAATAAACAACGGATCGGGGCAAAGCAATCTCCTCAAATTATACAACAACTGAATATTATGTGGTTCCGACTTTATAATCAAGTGCAAGGCACCGAAATTCTCTAAAATTTATTGATTTGTTCCTCACTTTCCAGCACCTTTCCTCCTGTCCTCTGTCTCCAGTCTCAAGTCTCGGTGTCTGTGTCCTCGCGGTTTCTGTTGGTTTCTTGCGGAACAACTTTCCGGCCAGCGCGGAGCGCCGTAAATCATTGCCCCCAAAAAATGTAGGCCCCAGAACCCTATTTTGCCAGGGTCCGCAGAAATTTTGCTGACCCTTTGATCAGTGGATCGTTGAATCGATGGTTTCGACGGTGGTTCGATCGATTGAAACCGTTCAGCTTCAGCGCCGAGTGAGCAGGGAAGGAAGTGATTTCTTGGTCCGTTCCATTCCCGTTCCCGTCTACGTTTCAGTCTCAGGGGGCAATTATCAAAATTGTAATTTCGTTCGTGGATTTTTATTGTAGTCTTTTCCTTAGCTTTAATTTCGTTTTGATTGAGTTCATCGATGGTCGTAGGTCAGCCACTGGACGGAGCCCCAATCTCTCAAGGAAGTGCAGATTATCGGGGGGAGTATCTCCATCAAAGAAAGTTTTATTTGGAGGAAAGTGATTTTGGAAGTCAGTGAAAAGAAATTATATAATAACTCGAAATACCCTTCAATTCCACCTTTAACCATTTAGATTAGGATCAGCATGTAGTCCCTTGGTTTTCCTCGCTCTCTCTCTCTTTATCTTATCTAATCTCTTGTGCTCCAAGCTCTTTTCAAACAATGTCATCTACAGCTTTGTCCTTGTCCCCTGCTAAGCCCCATGCCCCATCCCTCGTGAGAGACACGTGTTCTCCCTCAACGGTCGACCGAAGGGGAAATGGAATGAATGCCAAGGCTTCAGCAGAAGATGCAGCATAATTTTAAGGAGTCTAGCGGGGGGAGCGAAAACATCTCCTGTGGCAGCTATTTTTAAGTGTTGGCATAAAAGGCTCCAGCAGCATCAGAGGCAGAGGCAGCAGCAATGAGATGTCAACATTGCAACGCAATGAAAAGAGCAAAAGTAAAGCCTCGATAATAACAGATAATTGTGTAGAACATAGGCCAACTATTTGCGCGGACTCCTGCCACTGGAGTGGAGCTCTGCCTCTGCCACAAATCAAAGCCTCATCAGCGCTCCTCTCGATATAAAGTTCAAGTGATCGAAGAATCGATGGGATGGCCAGGCAGCAGCCAGCATCCAGCAGCCATCAGGCAGCACTCTCTGGGTTTTTGCTTGGAGTTTTGTGTGCAGCAAAACCATCCATCGATCCATCGATTTCAAGCAGAGTGTCACCCGGTTCTGCAGCAGATGAGAGGCAAGTGAGGGGCATGGAGAGACAGGAGGGGCTTGGGGGCACTGCCAGAGTCCCAATACATCGTTGTCGTCGTCACTTTGATTGCGTTTCGTGCCCAATTAGTCTCAGAGCACTTGAGTGCGTAAAAACTTGTACCGCACCATAAATAAATTGGCATGAGGAAGACAGGAGCCAGAGTCAGAGTCAGAGCCAGAGCCCCAGACCTCCTCTGTCCGCTCTCCTACTCCTTCCTTCTCCTGCGATGCAGTCTCTCTGTCGAGACATCGTTGTCGCCAGGAGCCCGAGTGGAGTCGCCACCGCCACCGCCGTCTCACTGTCAATACGCGACTTCGACTCCGAGTCGGACTCGTATAAGGAGGTCTTAGGGTTCGCTTTTGCTGCTTGCTGCTTGCCTCTTGCCTCTTTTTGCGGCAGTGGAAATTACATAAGGGCTATGACTATTAAGAGGTTGTCCTCCCTCAAGCAGTGGCCAGCCATAATTATGGAACATATTTCATAATAATAAGGTGTGTAATCTGCACATTTAACTAGACATCGAAAGCCCTCCAATTACAGTCCTCCGTCTGTACTCTGATTAGGGTAGAGGCAGCAGAGTGATGCCGATGTTTGTACATACTTAAAAAGCTATTCGTAAGGTTGTCATCGAGGTTCGGAGGATTCTAGGCAGGTTCTTAGAAGTCATCTGTAGCAGAAACAATAAATGGAACTTATGGATAGAGCTATGAATGGATGGAAGACAGTTTTACCTACTGGAGGTTTATTTATTTAATCTCTCTAATGATTATAATTCTCCGAACACTGATATCTTCCTGTCAAAAATCTCTCACTTAAATCAAATCAAACATCTCCACCATATCGATCATATTTTCCCACACAACCCACGAGATATGGCATTTCATTTGATTGTTTCCTGTGCTCGGTTCGGTTCGGTTTTGTGAAATTTCATCACGATCATTATCCGATCAAGAAAACTCGATTGTTTCCACAGTAGCAAATCCCCACCTCTACCCTCTCCTTCTCAAAAACGCGGTGGCTCCGATCCGATCCAGCGACAGATCGTATTTACTTTTTGAATGATGCTGTCAAAGGCCCCAAAGCGATTTGTGGTTGGACACTGATCGCACACGCGCCCCCCTGTGGGGCACCACCCGATATCCACCTCCCCAGTCCCCCCCTCAGCCACTGGCTCGAGCCGGGGGCCTATCTATCATTATTGATTGTGCCCAAAAGAGACGACGCTGTAATGCGATCCATGGACGATGGAGCAGTGGGCCATGGTCCATGGACCATGGATTGGTCTCCGATCGTTGGATAGCCGGTGCTCCAGCAACTCAA